ACACTGCTTCAATCACAACCAAACATACTCTATAGAACTGCTTGAAGATGAAGACAATGTGATGGGATTAATCCAAAATGAAGAAGAAACAATAGAAACTAGTTCTATTAATACTTAATTAATTGCTTATTATCTTTTTAAACTTTTCATAATCTATAAATAGTTTATCGATTTTATAACAAGAATTATCTCACACAAAAATTAAAAACCAAAAAATGCGTTGACTCATATTTTTTTGGATAAGATGGATTGCTTTGTTTCACTTAAACCATTTGTGTTTTTAAAAAGTCATTTGAACATCAATTAAATGTTATAAGCTCTTTACAATATGTTTTGTTCCTTTCTTTCTTCTAGCCTTTTGTCAATATCATCAAGAACTCGTTCAACTCTTGGTAGTTGCCTTTCTATCTTTTCTAGGTTTGCACTACTTTTTCTAATCTTTGTATTTTCTTTAACAATTGCCAACGCTTCAGCACAACAATTTGTGCATTCTTTAATAATGTCATAAAGTTGTAAGTATAAGGTAAATTCAAATTGATTTAAATCAGAGAAAAATTTATTTAATACATCAATAATTTTGATTGTATTAAACCTATTTAATTTTCCTACTTGTACATCAGTAGAACCAAAGAAAAAATCCCCAATACTCTTTTGTAATGAAGAAACAATACCAAAATCGACATCTTGGAAGAATTTCTTACTTTCTGAAAGAAAATAATCAATGTTCTTCTTTCTTTTTTCTATCTCTTCAATAATAATTTCAATAGAAGTTAAATAAACAACTTCCTCACTTTCAACAACGTGTCTTGTTAAAAGGCTTGGTAATACAAAACGAGTTCTTATTACTATTCTCTTTTTGCATAAACTTAGTACTGATGCATTTTGAAGTGAAATACCTTCTACCTCACTTGCTTCTTTTGATAGACATAATTCATCACAATTAAATGTTGAGCTATATTGAATAAAATCACCTTTATCATAAACTGGTTGAACTTGAGTCCAAAGTATATTACACTCATTTTCAGATTTAATAACTTTTTCAGTGATTTGGTCTAACGAACGTAAGAAATGTTTTTCTCCTTTATATGTTGGAGGAAGAATGTCATTTGTTTCTTTCAATAAATAAGACATTCTTTCTTTAGTTGAAGCATATATAAACGACTTACCATTTAAATAATCTCCAAAGACAGTTCCAAACAGCCTAACATAATAAAATTGAATAAAATCCTTAACAATTCCATCACAATTTTTATCAACCATCATAGCGTACATCCTATTAACAAAGTCATGAATATAACCCAATTCTTTGTATTTGTTCTTTTTAATATAATAAGGGATAACAACTGATGCTACCATTAACCCATACCATGGAATTTTTCCATTTTCAAAGTCATGACAAGCAGCAGTAATATGTTGAAGAATCATATCCTCTGTAAGACGAGCAGTAAATTGTGGACTAGGAGGGACAGAAGTGTTTGGAACAAATTTACCAAATGTTGTGCTCAAAACATCTACGTTGATTGATACTAATTCTTCTGGTAATAGGTGATGAATGAATAAGACCAAATGAACCTCACATAATCCTGCTTCAATATGTTGTTCTTTTAGTCTATGTTGTTGTGCTAATTTAGCAATCCAAGTCATATGTAATTGAGGTGCAGAAACATAATCCATAGCAAATTGGTAATACCTTTCAAGAACAAATTGAGGATCTCTTGAATCATTTAATAATGCATTTAAATTATTTAAGTTCTTTAATATTTTAATAATGTCGTCTTGTACAATTTTCAGGTCATCATCAAATGCATCTCTTTGACCATAAGAAAAGTCATGGAATGAATCAACCTTAACTTTTTCGTCTCCATTCATAAAGAAACCTATAATATCACGGTTCTCATCTCCTCTTCTTGTTGCTCTTGGTAAACCTTGAGTAACAAGAACTGAATTTGATGGGATATTTTTTTGGGTATAGATAGATGTCCGAGGACTTCTTGGAGATTTAATACCATTATTTTCTTTTTCTTGTTTTATTTCTTTTTCAGGAATACCTAAAGCAGAGCACCTTCCCCAAACTGTTTGTTCACTTCTTTTTAAGTCACAGTATCTGTTTAGTTTATCTATTTTCTGTTCATCATAAATGAGTAATTTGTCTCTTAGGTTTTGCACTTTTTGTATAACTATAGCAGGAACTTTTGATGGTTCTTCATCAATAATTTTATCAGTTTCATTAAAAAATTCTTCAAATAATGCTGCATAGTCTTTTCTAATTTTTTCAACTTTCTCTTCTTCCTTCCACTTAGCGTCATACAATTCAAAAGTCATTTGAATTTTTTCAAAGTCTTTTTCTTGAATCACTTGAAGGAATTTAAATCCTAAAGGTAATTTCTTTCTTTTTCTTAATTCTTGTAATAATGTTCCTGCATTTTCATATTGATTTTCTGCTTCTTCTACATGGTCTAATAAATATTGAGAAACTTTAGCAAGTATCTTTAAATAATCATTTGATTCTCTCATTGTTACTTTTGCAAGTGATATATATAACCCATCCCATAAATATGTTGATACTACAGTTGTAATAAACACACGTTCATTTTCATACCATTTCTTCATTTGTAATATATTTTCTTCATTACTTTTAACATTCTCAATTAATTGTGCTAACCATTCAACAACTGATATGGCACAATTAATACTTTCTTCCCAACTACAATAAGCAACTTCCCATGACGGTTTTAATCCACCCATTTTTTCTTTTTTATCTTCTAATTTATTAACATTGTTATTATATAAATGGTTTAATGACTTAAACTTATCAATTGATTCTTTTAAAAAATTAGCATCAATTGGCATTCCATATACTTCAGTACATAAATCTATAAATCTTTTATAAATAATACCTTCAAATGTTTGAACTTTATTAGTATATCTTTCTTTTTCTGAGCCATAAGATGTTCTTGTTTGTAAATGATTATTTACAGCTTTAATTCGTGACTGATGTAATTGAAGAACCTTTCTAACTCCATCAGTCATTTCTTGACTAGTAACAGGGAATAATGGGTTAGAAGTTAATTTAAATGCAGTTAGAGTTTCATCAAAAGAAGTATACTCATCAAGTATATTTTTAATTTCATTTGTCCTTTTTGTTTGTTCTTTTTCTAAGTCTTCAATTTTTCTAATTAATTGGACATCATTAAAAGATTCTAAATCACAACTATCAATAGAAAGTGACTTCTTTGCCCAGTCTAATAGTTGTTCTCCTATTTTTTTATTAATTTTACATTTTTCTTCTAAATCTTCCATATCTCTTTTATCAACATCACAATGACCTTCTAATTGATTCATTTTGTGGATACACATTTCATAATCACTTTCAATAATTTGTTTCTTTTCAATTAAAAAGCTTACAAGAGTTTCGTTTGTTGTTTCAATTTTCTCTCTAATAAAATCAATCCATTCTTTAAGCATATTAACACTTTCATTCTTTCTAAGCATAGCCACAAAATCTCTCTTCATTTCAATATATCCATTTATTACTGTTGGTTCTGCATTTAGTATAAAATCAAATAATCTATTTAAAATATTAATATAATCATATACAAATGTAATAAAAACATCAAGATCTCCCGCGTCTACAGCTTTATATAATTGTTGTACTCTTTGTAATGATTTGTTTCTTCTGACTCCTTCATCCAGAGAAAGTTCTATACATTTTTGTAATTTAGTATCAAAGTTATCATGATATTTTTTTGCTAAATCAAATAGTCCTTGAATTGATTTTTCAATATTATGAACATTATTAATTTGAAGTTCTGATAAAGCACTTGTAGCATTAACTATTGTAGCAACTGTATTTCCTGTAACAATGAAATTTGT